TGGCCCAAGAACCCCCAACAGCAGGGAGAGATGGTAGTTAGACTTTTGCATTCTAGTAACAAAGTCGGTTCCACAAGCCAGAAGCCTGCCCTCCTCTAGTGGTTCTGAGATATTGCTAGGGTTGACTTCTACTTAGCTTGTTATGTAAAGAAAATTCCCCTTTCTCTAACATGTCCTTGAGCATGTAAGACTATGGAAATAATTTGCATGCCAACTGAAGCCCCTCTAGTGCAAGTCTTTGATGTAGCTCTGGCTACCGGTACTGAAAGCATAACTGAGATGTGGCTTCACTGGGTAAGGCTAGGAAACAACAACTCTCTTGTGTATGTGTGTAGCCTGGTTTGAATGAAACAAGAAGCCACCTATAATTTAACAAATGGGTTGTTGTGCACAAGCAGGAGAAAGTGGGCATGCTACCCGCAGCATGTTGGCTTCTTGTGCCTTTCCTCCAGAGCCCACAATCAATTCCTTCATTTGTAGCAGAATGTAATGTCCAACCCTGAACTGCTGGGTTATTTAGACTATAAACATCCATATGGTCTAGGTTCGCATATCACAGACTTCAACCTATGAAGAAATCATTCAGTAAAGCCTTGTGCATAACAAGCGATCAATTTTTTAACTTGATGGGTTGGATTGTTACATGCAAACAGGCCCACTGTGTGTGCTGTAAAATCTAGTCACGCTTGCGTCAGTGAAGGGTAGAGTTTCATCTCTGAAATTCCTAGTAGTTGTCAGTTTAGGCCATGCCCTTGACATAAAATGTTTGCATGTACATAGACTAAAATATTCCAGGCTGCCATTCATAGGTTTAAGCAATGTAGCTTACTGGCCCATGGAATATTTTTCCTATGCAGAGATGAACATAATTATTTTCTTGTATGAAAGATATCTGCAATTTAAATGACTAATTGTATTGTAGCCTTGAGCTAAACATATTGATAACACAAATGTTGATGACATGTGAAGGGTCAAGCGATTTATAATTTCAATGAGAGATTGCTTAAAACGATGTGGCAAAAAGCCAGAATATTTCAGTTTAATAATTGTCTATTAAGTCAACGTGACACACTTTGTACAGTATTTGTTACCTCCAGGTACAGATTAAGGATCTGATGTAGCCACAGAAAGTGACATGCATACATGAATCTTGGGTATAATAGTGAATAAACTGACACTGAATTTCCAGTAATTTGTCTCAATATGTAAAACACTCTGTTGGTTACATTTGAAAAGACTTGTAGAAATGTCACAATAAACTTTGGGGGATGAAAGCTGTTCAGCTGAATAGTAACACTAGAAGCATGTAGATCTTTACTAGTTTAGTGAACTTCCTGCATGAATGAAGATAGCAGGATCGATCATAAATAAACTTATTCCTGTGCTAAGTGAAAAGAATTTGCAGCCTTTCATATTGTGCCATAATTTGTTTCCAAATTTCTTATTCTCTTTTTTATATTTTAATCAAATGGTGCCTTTCTTAGGCACTTAATCATGTTACTGTTAGATAACTGACTTAAGATAGTTTCATCCCAATAAGATTCCCACATCCTATTATTTGAGGGTTCATTACAAATTTACCCATGTAACCATATATAATGGACCTTTGGATTGTAATTATAGTGGTGTGTGAGCTCAAACTGAAACAATAGGCATTGTTCAGTTGGAAAAGTATTTGCAACTTTAGGCTTTCTTGCTAACTAAAAGTGTAAATTTGCTTGTTTCAGACGTCTGCTTTCAATGCTACTTGTAAAAACTTAAGCGTACAGTTATTGGCTGCTACTCAAATGTCAGTGGCTGTATAATAAATACAAAACCTATTATAACACAGCATATGCCAGAAAGTGGCAAATAAATAATTAAAAGCCTGTACTTAAAATAAGCAGAAAATGCGAATGTACAACATCGTGGGCCCTTTTGTATTTATTTTCTCTCCTATATGAATTTTTTGTATTTCTCTCCCACCCTGGGCTAGGAGTGATGGGAGCTGCCGCCCAAGTGGAGGGCACCAGATTGGGAAGGCTGGCTTAATAAAGAGCATCCAAGTTCAAGGGTCAGTTTGCCTCTGAATGCTGAATGCTATGGATACAAAAGGGCCAGAGCTGTTTCCATCAGGTTGTAATTATACACCTACCAAAGGCATCCAGCTCAGTGCTTTCAGAAACAGAATGCTGGACCATATGAGCCTTCATTCTTCTAAAAGAGGAGACAGGGAAGCATATAAAGTAGGGATAGATGCCTCTGTCAGTTTCAGTTTTGATGAGTTATTCCAACTGTCAGTTTGTTTCATCCTGCTTCTGCATCAGCTTGCAATTTTTTAATGTCTGTACAAATATTTGTATACATCTTGTGTGCATTTCACAGAATATTTCCACTTCTGAGACAATAAATATTTCCTATAAATATTACTGGAAGCAAAACATTTAAGGTTTTTGCTTTAGAGACAACTTGTGTAAGTTCCTTTATGAGAAACTTTATCACTTGTCTGCATGATGTATACTCTAGATAGATACTCCTGCTTGAAGTACTAAAGATTGCATATGTAGTGTTACAAGACACATTGGAGTAGGTTTTGGGGGGCATATGCTTTATTTTTCAGTGGATGAGAGTTGGCAGATTTGTGTGTGAGTGCTCAGTAGTAAGTCTTATAAAATAATCTCTGCTTTGAAAGTAAATATTTCCACCTCCCTGAAGTTCTTTTGACTTCTGAAGGACATAACTGTTGGATTGCTGAGAATCCCCTGGGGTTTGTTTCATTTATAATAATTCCTGGGGCCTTCTGCTGCATCCTGTTGGATTGACCTCCTTTTCAACCCTGTAATGGCAGCTGTGCTATAAAGCTAGTTTCCCCCCATGCTCCTTAAGGGTTTGTCTTACTTTGAACTGTGACCCTTTTGTGTCTTACCAGGACAGCAGGACCCTCTCTCTATGGTATGTCACCAGCAAGCTTTCTTCTATGTGTTCGTCTATGTTGTTCCAAGCCATCAAACAAACGGGAAGCTTCACACGATGGCATTTTTATTAAGTCAGGGAATTATTATGCTGCATCATATTAGCAGGAAAAATGGCCTTTTTAAAAGCAGATTAGTTCAACTATTCCAATTGTCGTCTTGCTTTTTTTTTGGCTTAAATTGTTTCAAGTGTTGCTAACTAAGGTTGGTAGAGAGGTCATGGGCACTTCCACACTAGAAACAGTAAAAAAGAAAGTGGACAGCCATCTGAGTAGGATGGTGTAACTTAATGTCCTGCAAAAGAAGGGGGTTGGTACCTGATGGCCTTCACAGCCCCTTCCAACTCTACTGACTCTATGATCTTCCAGAAAGACTACAGAATTAGGGGAACTCCTGTGAATCTTCACCAAAGACACAGCTGTTCTCACAACCTTTCATACCTAATGAAAATTCTGTCTTTTACCATTACCAAGAGCTAATTGTACCACTGTTTATTCCAAATTCTTTGCAGCCCTCTGAGAAACTATGGCACAAAGTGGATGCAGGTTATCCACAGGGATATCAGTCTGACAGATTTCAGAGCCGACGTGAATGCTGCCTGTTTTCAGATATTCAGGTCATGGACCATTTAGGTTTTTAATGCTTAAAACCAACACTTGCTTTGTTCTAAAGTCACTCTGCTGGCCAGTGCAATTATTTGAGAAACTTGTGTGGCCTGTTCTTCTTTCCTTTTTGCAGCCAGCATTCTGGACTTGATGTCTTTCCTGAAAATTTTAGAGGCAGCCATGCAGAGTGCATTTCAGAGCCCCAATCTACAGCGGTTGTCCACAAGAGTCAGTCCAAAGATAAACTTGATGGCTCTTCAGTAATTCAGCTCCATAGTAACACATATGTTGCTATGGAGCTTTGCAACAGTATTCATTGTTCCAAAGGCATGAGGCTTGCTCAGTGGAGCACATCTTACAAACAGGTTAAATTACTTACATTAGTTTGTTCTGTGTTTTTAAAAAAAAACACCCTTATTGGCAGTGATTTTTTGCTTAGCAGCTCTTAACAGATCCATTAAACAAATTGGTGGCTGGCTGGGCTTTTCAGAAACAACTAGCCAAAATATATTCACCAATCATACAGACTTACTGTCTATTCCTGGCAAGAAAAGTGGATCTTATAAAAAAATTAAGAAATTCCATAACGGGGTCAGTGGTTGCACGTAGTGTACATACTCCTCAACACAAAAAGTGTTATTTATCAAATCAAAGCCAGAACAGAAACTATGTTGAATATTCTTTCTTAATGTGGAATCTCTCTCTAGGTTACAGGGAAGCTGGTAAATCCCAAATTTTCAGTACTGTATATTTATACTGGACCCTTAAGTTTTCCAACAACTTTAAGTTTGATATGTAAAAAGTAATGTAAATGCTGGGTGTGTTTATAACATATGCCTGGAAATGAGTAACTTAAGCTGTAATCCTATGAACATATAAACAGAACAAAGTCCTGCAGCTCTCCACATTCTGCAGCCAACATGGCTGACTGGTGCATGCTGGAAGTTGTAAGACTTTTTTCTGTCTAAACCCTGTGTAAAGTAAAATTCATTGTTCCAGTTGCAAAAGTTGGTGGCAAGTGGCATTCTGGGGATTCCCCTCTAGTCCAGCCCCTCAAACTGACCCGCTGTTGCCCATCATACTTGGCACAGGTTTGTTTCCAGATGTGCTGGGGTCATATGACTTTAGTTGGGGGCGTTGCAGAAGTGAACAAGGATGTAATAAAATAGCTTCTGTGATAGCAAGCCCCCCCCCCCCTTCACAATGCCATGTTCCAGTATGGTATGGGTTGTGCCAAAGAGACAATAGTTACCATGCACCTTTAGGCCTGTTTGACCAAAGGAGAGGATGGTGGTGGAAGCATACCTTGGGGCAAGTATGTCAGGATAAAGCTGCAGCACTACATTTGTACAAGATTTTGTTTTAAGTTTCTGCGTTGCTGTGCAACTTGACATTTGATTTTCAATATCTGGTCCTCTTTCTCTCCCCTTTTTTCCCTGTCTAGGACTTGAACAGGTCACCCAGCCTTGCAAAGCCATACCTTCGTCCAAGAATAATACGCATCTGTCTCAGGGACTTGATCTTTTGCATGGAACAAGAAAGAGAGATGAAGCATTCCCTAGCCTTGTACCAGGCTCTTCTGAAGTAATAGCTAGACTTCTGTTGTGTTTCAGCTTGCTACCATTTGTTGCCAAAGAACTCCTGTTTTCACTGATCTGAAGTCTGTCCTTGGAAACCAGTCCATTGCAAGGAATAGTTTAAGAGGTCATGGAACACATGCATGTTGCCTAGATGCATGGGAGACAGAGGACTTCAGGTGCCATGCAAGTCAATTACTTGTGTCAGTATTTCAGTCCGCAATATTCCATGAATAGTGTGCCTTCTAATGCTAAAGTTATAGAAGAATGGTGTAATGAATGTATTTAATAACAAACCAACAGACACTTGGTTTGCTTGTACATTGCCTACAGGAGTTAACCTCTCTAGTTGTCCTAGTTTTAGAGCTCAGTGCTGTAGCTGGAAGAGAAACCACTTGGGAGCAAGCCAAGGAAGTGCCAAAGTGAGGTCTATAATCTACTGCTTCCAAAGGAAGATGGGGAAGGAAGAATCCCCAATGGCATGGCTTACGTTGCCAATAATACTGAACAAATCTGCAAGCACGCTGGAGCAGCATAGAAGAGCTGGGGTGAGCACTCTCTGGCAGCATAGTTTCCTAAGGGCACAATCCTATGCATGTTTAGACAGAAAAAAGTCCTGCAAATCTTAGTATTCCCTAGTCACATGACTGGCAAATGCTGGGAGTTGCAGGATTTTTTTCTGCCTAAACATGCATAAGATTGCAACCTGGAAGAGCACTTAACTTGAGCAGATGGTCCTTTCATTATCAGCATAAAGGTAGCTGCAGATGCATCTAATTTTGTGTCTGTGTTTGGATTTAAAGCAGGGAGCTATCCTTGAGCAACACCCTCTGCTTTATGTGACATGTAGGATTATTTGATTTCCTCTTTCCTATGTTATGGAAGTAGGAAGAATATATTTAATGATTATCAGGGATTTGATCACTTTTTTCTTAAGCTGGTGACTTGGGAATGATTCTAAAACCTGCTCAGCAGGAAAAGAATCTCCTGCAGCATTTGTGGAATGGCACAACATCATCCAGGGTACTGAGGTGATGGTTTGCTGGGTTCCAAAGATTCTGCCTATTAGTCTGTCCTGGATCACTAGTGAAGACGTTAGATGTGGAGAGCCACATGCAGTTGTCTTTTGCACTTTTCTACCGAGGTTGTTAGTCTAACTTCTTCCTATTCCTTTCAATGGGTCTACTGTAAGTAGGACTAACACTGAATGCTACCCAAAATCTTTTCTGTCCTGTACATTTAACCCAACTCTAAATAGTATGGGTATATAATGTAAGTGTGTAAAGAAAATATCAACTGAATGCCTTCACAATTAAAGTCTTTATTTAGGAAAAAAAGAGGTTCTTAGAGCGTTTTCATATGCCATTCTACAAAATGGGAAGGGAGATAAAGAGAAAGGTAGAAAAAGAACCCACTTAACTTTAAGCCCAGGTCTACTATAGTATGCAGTATGTTGGGATTCTAATCTAGTTATGGTTTCGCTGCTTGGAACTCAGCAAACTAAATGCAGTCACTTCTATGTGTGTGTTTCTGTGTGTATGTAAGTGGAATATATTTGGAATCCTTGACTATAAAGCAGTAAGGTATTGATGGGATCAAGCAAAAATGTTTTGTATAATAAATGCCTATCTTTACTTTTTATGTAAAGTACAGCATTTCCCATTTGTGTATTCAGTATTACTGACAGATGTTTCAGATTTATTTTAAATACTGCATTAAAGTAACTATTTTATTAAATATGTTAAGAGTATTTATTGCATTGAATCTGAGGAGTAGTATTACATGATTCTGTGTGCATGAAGCCCTAACTATCAGTGTATTTAACTTGTAGTGTCCTTAACAGCACAGACATGCAGATGCCTTCAGACAACTTTCCTGAACTACTACCCTCCAGATGTGTTGAACTGCAACTCCAGTAATCCCATTGCTGGCCGGGAAATCATAAGACTTTTCCTCTAGACGTATTGAGCTATATCAGGTTGAAGAATGCTATTTCAAGACATAACAGAATGTCCGAGTTCTTTGCCATTGACATGAAGCCATTCGACATCTGGCTTACAGAATCAGGACTAGATATGTGGGCCAACAATGTATGTTAAGTTTGCCTTTGCTCTCTTTTTCATTATTCAGTTACATAACAATCATCCAAGAGTAAGTCGAATGAAAGTTGTGAGTAAAGTTTGCTTGCAAAAGGTAGACAATATTTCTCACTCTTTGCAGCAAAATCCTCAGAGTTCTGGGCGCCCCTCTACTGATAGGTCCCAGGGCCTCCATGTTTTCTACCCATTCTCAAGATTCTGGCTACTCAGGAAAGTGCATCCTCCCTTTTTGCTAAAACTTGCTTTTGACAGTTGTTAAAAACAGTTTCTCTGAAACTTGGGTTTTAGGTAGGGTTGGGGTGGTTTGGATATCTGTATAGTTTTGCGTATTTCAACTGATTACTAATTGTATTTGGGCTTGGCTCAATAGCCTTTCATGATGGTAAAATTCCTCTTCATTTAAACCTTTTTAATTATAGCACTGAGTGATTACTGGCAGGCTGATGCTTAGATAGGGATAACTAGCTCTTTATACTGTGATTGTCACAATTTAAGACAGTCACTTTAATAAAAAAATAACTTGCATGCAATACAGACTACAATTGTTAATTAATTAAAATATACTGGGACCATATTTCCATGGAATAATTGCCTTATACATAAGTTAGCTTGCAGCTTTTAGTGGCATTTGATTAATCAGTACAAAATTTCCAGGCATTACTTGGGATCTAAGCAATGTGTGAGATAATTGTGTAGTCTCTTAAGCACAATGTACAAATAATATACATCTACAGAAAAATGATTCATTTTAATACACCATCTGCAAGAGTTTCCTGGGTAACTGTCCTTAATGAGTTTACAGTGAGTATCGTTTGTGTCAATTGAAAGACCATCCAGTTCCTACTATGGAGCATTGTAAATATTTCTTTTTATTATTTATTTATTTATTTGGAATTTTTGTATGCCGTCCCATTCGCATAAGCCTCGGGACGGCTTCCAATCACAACTTTATTTGTGATTTTCCTTCCTGTAGCTTGAGATTTGTCCCTGTTGTTAGTTCATAAATCTTAATGTCATGAGTTCATGCACATGTAAAAGGTATAAATATAAAATGACTTCCAAAGAAGAGAAATCAGTTCAAACTTAGGTTAACATTAGAGAATTCTCTAAGACTGGGGAAAGAGACTGGATGGATGATGGATGTTAGTACCTGGAATACCAAGGATGCAAGGTAAACTTGTATATAAGTAAAGTACATTTCAGCATAATCCTATGCATGTTTAGTCAGAAGTAAATTCCATTGCGTTCAGGTATACTCAAGCTTTAAAGAAAAGCTACCGCTGCTTTGTTTAAGAAGGGAGCATCACTAGTGAGTCATCTCTCCCCCACCCCCAAAGCTCCACTAATGCAGGCTTTAATTGCTTCCTAGTGGTTTTCATTGATTTCAACTGTTGCTGCAAGAGAGAAATAGTAAATTTGTTCTGCCATAGTACCCTGCCTAGCAGAATGAAGCCTAAGCTCTCCTACCAGTTTGGCACAGTCCTTTAAACCCCCAGGAGGCTGAAGGTTTGTTGCCATTCTCTGTAAGCAGCTGGACTCCACTAGTGACTCAGAGGCTTCTGGGGAGGTACCAATGTCGCCGTCTGGTCCAAAATTGATGAATGAATTTCAGTTACTGCGGCCTGATGATGTGGACAGGGTGCTTGGACAAGTACGTCCCACCACTTGCCTATTGGACCCTTGCCCATCTTGGCTAATTAACAATGCCAAGCACGGGATAGGGACCTGGATCTTGGAAGTGGTTAACACCTCTCTGGGGCGGGGCGGGTACCTGCCCCTTTAAAGGAGGCGGTAGTCCGACCAGTCCTGAAGAAGGCATCACTGGATCCAGAGATTGCCACTAATTATAGACCAGTAGCCAACATCATGTTTCAGGGCAAAGTGTTGGAGTGGGTGGTGGCGGGACAACTCCAAGCACTCTTGGATGAAACTGATTATCTGGACCCATTTCAGTCTGGCTTCAGACCTGGGTATGGTACTGAATCTGCCTTGGTCGCCCTGTATGCTGACCTGTGCAGGGAGAAAGACAGGGGGAGTGTGTCCCTGTTGGTTCTCCTGGACCTCTCAGCAGCTTTTGATACCATCGACCATGGTATCCTTCTGAATAGGCTAGCGGGATTGGGGGTTGGAGGCACTGCTTTGCAGTGGTTCCACTCCTATCTCAATGGCCGATTCCAGAAGGTGGTACTGGGGAACTATGGCTCTGCGCCATGGCAGCTATGCCATGGAGTACCACAGGGATCCATTTTGTCCCCTTTGCTATTTAACGTCTACATGAAACCGCTTGGAGAGGTCATCAGGAGGTGTGGGCTGCGGAATCATCAGTACGCTGATGATACCCAGCTCTACCTCTCGTTTTCAACCGATCCAGGTGAGGCAGTGGCTGTACTGAACCGGTGCCTGGCCAAGGTAATGGGCTGAATGAGGGCCAATAAACTGATGCTCCATCCAGACAAGATGGAGGTCCTGTTGGTTGGTGGATCGGGCTTTGGGGAAGGGGACCTGAACTTAGTCCTGAATGGGGTTGCACTCCCTCTTAGGGACAAGGTCCGCAGCTTGGGAGTACTCCTCGACCCAGAGCTTTCACTGGAAGCTCAGGTGACAGCGGTGGCGAGGAGTGCTTTCTTTCAGCTTCGGCTGATCCATCAGCTGCGTCCCTACCTGGAGAACGACTGCCTGGCGACAGTGACACGTGCTTTGGTGACTTCCTGACTTGACTTCTGTAACGCGCTCTATGTGGGGCTGCCCTTGAAGACGGTCCGGATACTTCAATTGGTTCAAAATAGAGCTGCCAGGATGCTGACAGGGACTGGGCATTATATTCACATGACTCCAGTTCTCTGTCAGCTTCACTGGCTCCCCATTGAAGTCCGGGCCCAATTCAAGGTGTTGGTTATGACCTATAAAGCCCTTAACGGCTTGGGTCCTGGTTACCTGAAGGAGCGCTTACGTCCATATATGCCCACCCGCCCCTTGCGATCAGCGGGAGAGGCCCTTCTTCGGGAACCCTCCGTGAAGGATATTAGGAGGGTAAGTACTCGGAGGAGGGCTTTCTCTGCGGTGGCGCCCAAACTATGGAATGCACTCCCCAGAGAGGTCTGCCTGACGCTGTTGTTACTTGTTTTTTGTCGCCAGGCAAAGACCTTTTCATTTAAACTTTTAATTGTTAATATTATTTATTTATTTTATATCTCTGGCCAGGTCATCTCAAATTATATTGTTTTTATATTATGATTATTTATTGTTGTGAGCCGCCCCGAGGCTTCGGCGAATGGGGCGGCATAGAAGCTTCCTAATAAATAAGCAAGCAGTCTGGATAGTAATAACAGTAACACATACTGGAGGACACAAAAGAGCAACTTAAACTATGTAGACTAAAGTCTTTGCTCAGATTAAAAGTGATGTGGTTTTGCTTCTCCAAATCAGGTAACAGCTTCCTGGGGATCCTTTCAATTCAAGTTCTACCTGCTTCTGGATTTCCTTTTCCAAAACTTAATGCAATAGATTAAACAGGTGGTGGGAGTATCTCTGAGATCCAAACACTTGAAACACAATTGCCTTGGATGTTTAGAATTCCTGATTCCTCTACCCTTTTGTTGTTTTTACATGCTGGAGTTTCCTTTATGGAATCAATCTCATAGTTGATCTACCTCCTCTTCTGCTTTTGACTTTCCCTAGCATTATTATCTTCTCCAGTGAGTCTTGCCCTCTCTTGATGTGCCCGAAGTACGATAACTTCAGTTTTGTCATTTTTGTTTCCAGGGAAAGTTCTGCCTTGATTTGATCCAGGACTCACTTCCTCATCTTTCTGTCAGTCCTGGGTATTCACAAAGTTTCCCTCCAGTGCCATGTTTAGAACACATCAATTTTCTTCCTTGTCAACTTTCTTCCCTGTCCAGCTTTCACACCTGTACATAGTGAACAAGAATACAATAGTATAGATGATTTGGGCCTTGGTCTCCAGGGAAACATCCTAGCACATGACAATCATTTCTAAATCTTTCATTGTTGTCCTTTGAAGTCTCAGTTTTCTGATTTCTTGGTTACAGTCTCTTGTAAATGGACAAATAAGTCTAGGTACGCAAAACCTTCCACAATTTCGATTTCTTCATTGTTTTGTAACAACACTGTAATTCTTCTGTAACAACGAGTAGTAATTCTTCTGTAGTCATGATTTTTTGTTTTCTTTTGTTTTTGTTCAGTAGCAATCCTGTTTTTACACTTTCTTCTTTTGCTTTCATCAGGAGTTGTTTCAAGTCATTGTTGCTTTCTGCCAGTAAGATGTTATCATCTGCATATCTTAAATTATTGATGTTTCTTCCACTACACAGAGATTGAACAGATAGGGAAATAAAATGCACCTGTCTGATGCCTTTTCTTATTGGAAACAATTGTTTCTCCATATTTTTTTTATGTATTTATTTAAAACTTTTTAAGACCATCCCTTACCGTGGTCTCGGGATGGTTTACCAATAAGACAAAATAGAATAAAACACAGCATCCTGGCTTGACAATAGCTTCTTGCCCTTGACAGGACAATCAAATCTTGAAGTACCCTGATTTCATTCAGAACCACCCATATCTTCATGATTCACACACTCAACAGTTCTGCTGTAGCTTATAAAGCATAGATAAGTCTTATTTTGTATGCTCCAATAGCCAACA